ACATTTACTAAGCTTCCCACATCCCGGCAGTTGGGCACAACCACAGCCCTTCAGTGCTCAATCAACACTTGCTGACTGAATAAAGAAAGTCAAAACCAAACCAGGAATTACTAGGTCCAAGGACAGACTGGGAGCTGCACAGCGTTTTCGTCCCAGCAGACAGGACCCCACGGGCAGGCGGGAAAGAGCTTTCATCCATGCATGCGTTCATTCAGCAGTGTTCGTTTGGTGTCATGCACCAGGATTGGGAAGATGGGGGACAACCCAGCTCTCATGCCTGGGGCGTTCCTGCCCAGTGCTCCCAAACACAGCTCTGGACTAAAGTGGGGCAGGCAGGACATGCTGCAGCCCTGACTGACCGCAGCAGGGCCGTGCATCTGCTGTCCAAATGTATTTTGTGGCTCAGCAATGCCCTTATGTGACTCCTAAATCAACATGACATAAAAGATGTGCAGTGAAATGTCTTGCTCCTGCCCTGCCCTCCCCTGGCACATTCCTGCCCCCTCAACCAGGTACCCCTTTTATTGGTTTCTTGCATATCCTTATCTAGTTTCATACTTTCCCCCTTCGTAAAGGTAGTATACCATCCCCCCTGGCTTGGACCTTGGAAAGAGGTGCATTTTATTTTCAAAATGCACTGATTTCACATATCACCAACCCACCCTGTGTTCTGTCTGGTTTATTGGTAGAGTGGAGTGGAGCTCAAGGCTTTGCAAAAGTGAATATCTGATCAGATGTGCAGAAAGGCCTGTGTCTGCTGCCCAGGTGCTGAGGGGAAGCACGGCCACTGTTTCTCTGGAGAGCGTTGCCTAGTAACATTTGCAGGGGACATACGTAGACAGGGGACGAAGGAGGCTGTTTGTGATCACAAGTGGCCTATGAGTGGGGAGCAGTGGGAAAAAAAAGTTTAAATCATTTAACTACCAAAATCATGTCTGCTTATTGTGACCAACAAATAAACAGAGAAATCAAGTCAGAAGTCAACCTCAATCCCACTTCCCCAAAGTAACTGTCGTGAATAGGTGAGGCAGAAGCTTTTGCCCGCATTGTACATAGAGAGAGCAAAGTGAAGGCAACAAATAAGCGTTTTTCTGGGGTCTGAAGGGAAGGCCACTGAGATGGGATGGAGGGCTGCCTAGGCCTGGCTGCCCAGGGGAGGAGCGGTGGGAACTGGGAATGGGGCGGGCGGGCAGGACACGGAGCAGGTGGCCGGCATTAGTGTCAGCAAGTGGCGTCTGTTCCCTCTTAGCAGGAGCAGAAATCCCAACACTTCTGCTCGTTCAATCTCGTTATTGGAGTGGCCAAGGAAAGACACCACTGTACTCACGTGGAGAAGAGACAGCGAGATCAGCTTCAGTGGTAGGCGTCAGTCCCCTGTGGCCAGCAGGTCCCTCCTGGCTGCTGACACAGGGCCATTGGCCTGCACACACCCTTCTGTGCTGCAGCAGAAAGACCCTATCCCCTCCCCAAAGGGGACAAACGCAGCAGTAGCGGTGTTGGCTGGGTGCCGTGTGATGTGCATGCTTACACAGAACAAAGGAACACACACTGAGTGTGAAACAGAGAGGATATTGCCACACAAGGTGACAAGTCCAGCACAAGCTTGAGGATTCCTGGTAAGGAATGTTCCAGGCCCAAGGCCTATTGTCATGTAGCCAAGAGGGGGTTGAAAGACTGAGACTGCCTTTCCCAGCAGAACACTTCCCTGCCACTCAGCCCTCCATGCTGCCTTCTCTCCCTTCCCGTTTGCCGCATCTGTGTCCACATCTGTTCCCAGTACTCAGACAACTCAGAACAGGGACAGTCTTACTGACTAGGGCACACCCAGGCTTCACAGGGTGCTTGGCACAGAGGAGCATTCGGCAAATATTTAGTTTAAAGGCTGTGCTCAGCCCCAGCACCAACTCACGCAGGGGCATCCAGGGGCTTTGCTGGTGGCTCCGGTGCCTGGTGGGACTGGGATACAAGCTCTAGAAGCTCTGTCCAGGGCCTGACAGACTGGGGGCTCCCCGACTGACTCAGGGGGTGCCAGCCCTGACTGTGACAGCTTGCAGCTCCTGCCCCAGGGCTGGTGAGCCCTGTGAGGTGGGCAGCAGGGAGGCGGAAGTCCTGGGTATTTCTTGGCCACCCCCCACCAGCCCCAGACAGGCCTGAGGTCCTGGGAAGGGATGACCAGAAATGTCCTCCAAGGAATGACCCTCTCCTCACCCTCTCTGAAGAAGGACCAGGGCCCCAGCCACCCTTGGTCTAACCTGGCCCCCACCGTACCTGGTGGAAGCTCGGAAGCGAAGGGCAGCAGTCCTCAGCAGGCGAGCACTCGCCCCAGCCAGGTCGGCCCCACGCACCAAGGCATAAGCCAGGGCCTGGCAGCGAGTAGGTCCTCAGTAAACTTATGTTGGTGGATTTAGGCCTGGGAAGGGGGTGGTCTTGCTGGGGATGGAGAGGACAATGTGGGGAATAGTCTCTTGTCATTTAGGATGGCTTGCCAGCAGGCCCAGTACAGAGAGGACAGGATTTGGCATCAGACGTGGATTTGAATCCTGCCACCGCTTCCTACCTAATTAAAATTTGAGCAGCTTATTTCATTTTTTAAAAGCTTTACAGAGTATGATTTACATACCACAAAATTCACTGACTCTAAGTGTACAATTCAATGACCATATATGTAGAGTTTTGCAGCCAGCACTGTGATCTTATTTTCAATCATTTCCATCACTCCAAACAGAAACCCTGTGCTCCTCCCATTCCTACCACAGCCCTGGCAACCACTATTTCTGTCCTATAGATTGGCATTTTCTGGACATTTCATGCAAATGGAGTCACATAATATGTGGCCTTTTGTGACTGGCCTCTCTCAGCACGTGTCAGTACTCGCGTCCTTCCTACTGCTGAATAACATTCCGTCGTGTGAGACGAGGCATTGCTATCCATTCACCAGCTGGAGGACTTTCGGGTTGTTTCTGCCCTTTGGCTCTCTTACTAAAGCTGCCATGAACATTCGCGTGCTAGTTTTTGTGTGGACATGTGTTTTTATTTCTCTTAGGTATACACCTTGGAGGAGAAGTGGGCCATGCGGCAACTCTATGTTCAATCTTTGGAGGAACTGCCGGACTGTTTTCCAAAGTGGCTGCACTGTTTTACAACCCCACCAATACGTGAGGGTTCTAATTTCTCCACATCCTGTGGACATTTGTTACTTTTTTTTTTTTTTTTTTTGAGACAGGGTCTCATTCTGTTGCTGGGGCTAAGTGCAACAGCATCATCATAGCTCACTGCAGCCTCAAACTCCTGAGCTCAAGTGATCCTCCTGCCTCAGCCTCCCAAGTAGCTGGGACTACAGTCATGAGCTATTACACTTGGCCTGTTAATTTTTTAAAACCAAAGTCTTTCAAACTGAAGAGACTCAAGAGAAGAAAAAAAAAAGTCTTACTAGTGGGTGTGAAGTGGTATCTCATTGGGTTTTGATTTACATTTCCCTAATAGCTAATGACATTGAGCATATTTTCACATGGTGAAATGTCTATTCAAATATTTTGGGGCACTTATTTAACCTTTTTGAACCTTATCTATTCTTCTGGAGAAAAAAAAATTATACCCAGCTCCTAAGGCCATGATGAGATTGTGTGTAAAGTGTTTGCCAGGGGCCTGCCACATACGGAGGGCTTCAAATGAGTGTTTAGTTTCGTTGTACCTGTCGTGTGGGCCCACAGGAGTGAGCCTTCCCCACGGGCTCAGGTTTGGAGTCAGAGCCAGGGCTGCCCCGATCCGCACAGCAGAATGAGCAGGCACTCCTCCCTCCTCCGCAGGAGGGTGAGGGAAGAGCACCATTTGCAAGAAGGTCCATCGTGTTCCAGATGTTCTGTTGAGCAATTAATTCCACATTTTCTCATTTAATCCCCGCCAGAACCTTCTGAGGAAGCCTGACCTTCACGTTTATAAGGGATGAGACCTTGAGGTCAGAGATATTCAGTAACTTCTCTAAGGTTGCGTGGTGGAAAGTTGGGGGGGGGTGTCTAAGATTGAACTCAGCTGATGCTGATGCCATGCCTTTTCAATCCCAGCCCTGCAGCACAGGCCAGGAGCACCTGGGGACAAGCACACACCAGCCCACGAGGGGAAACTGCAGGCTCAGTCTAGTGGACAGCACCTCCAGCTGGCTTCCAGGAGGCCGGAGGGTTGGAGGCTAAGGACACAGACGGCCCCAGCGCTGATCTGCCACTGATCTGCCACACAACCGGGGTAAGCTGCATATCCCCTCTAGGCGTCGACATCTTCCAGAAAGGGAGGAAAACAGTAGCTCCTCCTTCAGAGGGCAGTTGTCCCCTGTGTGTCTGGCTGCGGCCCACACCCAACCCAGGCCACTTGGCTCCTCTCTGCCATGAGCCTGGGACCATCCTAGAGCACAAAGTCTTGGTCCTGACCCTGGGGTAGGGTTGGAGTTCTCAAGGCCAGGCCCCCCATGCCTCTCACCCCTACTTCTTGCCCTTGGACAGTGCTCTCCCACAGAAGTAGGGAGGACTGGTAACAGCCTTGAGTTCTCTAGTATGATTATTTAAGATTAAGAAAAGCAGGATATTAAAACATAACCTTTATTAAAGCAGCCAGACTTAGCAATGAACACCACTCTTTAAATGGTACACCTATGAAGCAGGAGTTAAACACAAGCGTAGTCTAATTCTGTACACCTTTGATTGTGACGATTAAGTTGCTCCCTTCTTTTCCATTTATCAATTCAGAGAAAAGCCCTTTTCATGTTTTCTCTCTCCCCCTTGCCTTGGCGTCAAAGCGATTCTGCTGTGGGCTCTAGTTGGAGGAGCCCAGTTGAAGGTCTTCCCCAGGCCTTCCCACCCCATCTGGGCTCTGACTGCAGTCCCTGCCCCTCCCTCCGACAACAGTGGAAGGTGTGCAGGGCTATGTCGGGCTTCCAACAATGACCTTCAGAACGTCTGACATGCCTCACAAAGCATCCAACATGGGACAGGAGAGGAAACTAGTGCTGCTTGCTTGGTCTGATCAGATTTAAGGAGGTTTTATCACAAGGATCGGAAAAAAAAAACTACTTGAGCCTGCCCTGTCCTCACACAGCTGGCTGGGGAGGGGCGACGGGGGCCAAGGCCCCTCAATCGAGGGCTCTGGATCACAGAGAGGAGGGTAGAGGCTGCCTTAGTCCTTCTTGCCTCCTGGGGCTGAGCTTCTTGTGAGGAGCTTCCCTGGGCTGAAGGGGGCCAGTGTGGAAACTGTGGGGGATTCCAGCTTTACTCTGTCCAGGAGGGTCTTCTTAAGGGCAGCTGGGGAGATCTTTTCTTGGTCAGCCATGGACTGCAGCTCTCTGCAGACAAAGCCCCAGAAGAGTGGAAGGAGGCAATAAGCCTTGGAGCCAGAGCTCTGGGAGTCTTCCCTACCCACATAACCCAGTTACGTGACTCCACCAAGCTAGAACTCCAAAATGAACATTCCCGCAAGCTTCTTGGAAGGACTGTTAAGTATGGGTTTGTCTATTTATCTCATTTGACCCAAGCTAGACGTAGAGCGCCAGGTGGTATCTGTGATCATATGGGGAGAGAATGTGGAAAGTGACATGGTTTGGAGTCATAGGCGTGAAGCTGAATCCTATGTCCATCACTTATTAGCTGTTTGACCTTGAGAAAATTGTCTCTGAACCTCAACTTCTCCATCTTTAAATCAAAGTTAATCCCAGCTATCAGAACAGCAGTGAGAATTAAGTGGAGTAAGGCCTGCAAACTCTTAGCTAAACCAAGTCTAGTAAGTCGTGGTTATTAACAGAGCACAGACTCCAGCACTGCTAACAGGACCAGACACAGGAGGTTCCGCAAGACAGCACCCAGCTCAGCCCAGAGGCCAGCTGGGACTGGTGAGCCTGGGGCAGAGGAGAGCAAGGCAGACTCACCGCGTTCGGATACAGGAGGCCTCAACCGCATTCATGAGCAGAGAGCGGAAGCCCCCACTCTCTAGGAAGTGCAGGGCATGGATGGTGGCTCCCCCAGGGGAGCAGACATTGTCCTTGAGCTGGCCTGGATGCTGCTCCGAGTCCAGCAGCATCTTGGCAGCTCCCTAGGACAGGGAGGGCATGGTAGAAGAGGAACTTACTAGTGCACCTGGGGACAGGCTTCCCTCTGCCCACTCTACGGCCCAATCCCTATCTTGGATTCCCAACCAACCCCTGACCCAGCTCAGAGACCCACAGAACCCCCATCCCACACCCTGGTCCCAAACATGCAGGGGAAAGATACTGACCAGCAAGGCCTGAGCCCCCAGTCGGACTGCCAGGCGCCGCGGCAGGCCCATCTTCACCCCCCCATCAGCCAAGGCGTCCAGGGCCATGAACGCCTGTGGGGACACTCACTGAGCCCCAGGTAGCAGGCACTCAAGGGCCCTCCCTCAGGCTCTGCTCTTTCTGATGTCTGGAACTAGCTCCAAGGGTCAGCCTCCTCCACCAGCCAGCCATGCCCAAGAGGTGGGTGCCACCCCCAGCCCAAGCCTGCCTGCCTGCTCATCCTGCTGCTAGGTTTCCTGCAAGGCCAAGTGAGCACATGAGGGCCTCACGTAGGCAGGCCCGCTGCCGCTAAGCCCTGTGACGGCGTCGATCAGGTCCTCTTCCACCTCGGTGCAGAAGCCCACGCTGCTCATGAGCTGCTCCAGGAGCTGCCCATCCTCCACCAGGGCATGGGTGCCGGTGGCATACACTGTGGCGCCCTCCCGCACAACCACAGGCGTGTTGGTCATGCAGCGAATCACTTTGGGGGCTGGCTGGAATGCCATCAGCTTCTGTGGCAAGAGAGAGGGCTGAGTGAGTGGCCAGGCCACAGCTCCCACCAGCACCCACCCATTAGCTGCCACTCTCAGGCCACCCCTCCCCTCACACAAGGGGAATCGGCTGAGATGGGCACCTTCTCCACAGAGCTGATGGTGACACCGGCTGCACAGGAGACCACAATGTGCCTGGCTTGCACGTCAGCCCCAATCTCATCCAGGATGAAGGGGATGATGTGCGGCTTCACGGCCAGGAACAGGACGTCACTGTGCCTCACTGTCTCCTTGTTGCTTCGCGTCAGGTTCACGCCCATCTTCTGCAAGAAGAGACTCAGGGCTCACAGTGCTAGGGCAGCCTGGCTAAGCCCAGGCCTCCCAGGGAGCAGCTGAGCCCCTGCCAAGCCCACTCTGCCAGCTGCAGCCTGGAATTCTTTGCCCTGTTCCCTGACCCCGACTGACACAAAGTTTCCCACTGTGGCTACTGGGCAAGTAAGCACAGGCACCGGGCATGACAAGCTTCTCCATGGTAACCAAGAAGTGGCTGTCCCCTCTTGCCCACCAATCTTCTGGCACCCAAGGCCCCTCTCTGCCAGGTAAGGCGGCTCCATGGGGGGAAGTGGTGAAGGGAAAGGTGAAATGCTAGCACCCAGTGGCAGAAGCAGAGCTGAGTCAGGCCCTATCCCAACAACAGCCACTTTTTCATCAGACTGCACAGCTTCTGTGTGGTCCAGGGCCATCTCTCTAGAACTCCAAACTGAGAAGCAGGATCCTGTAGTGCTAGGGACATCAGCCCACAGTAGGCACAGACACTGCCTGTCACTGGCCTCATTAGCCATCCTCTCCCATACCACCCAGGTTGTGAGTGAAGATGGGATATTATGTTTTCTGGGAGAGTTGTTCTGGGAGAGCAGAACAACTAATTCACTGGATTCTTTCCCAACACGTTCATTCATGCCTCAGAATAATAGCAAAGTGGCTACTGTTGTAAAGGAGGAAACTGAGCCTCAAAGTGACTGAGTACTTTAAGGTCACACAACTAGTCAATAATGAAAAATGAGTATTTATTGGGTATCTACTATGGGCCAGGAGCTTTCCACGTATAATTACCACAGTTAATCCTCTAATCACTCCAGTGTCTGGATTTGACCCCAAGTCTGTCCACCTGGGTGCTCTTGTGACACTGAACTGCCCCAGAGAAGCGGGAAGGATTGTGATGTTCCTGGTGGGGAGTTCAGAGCTGGCCAAAGACCAGCACATGGCATCAGGGGCCAGCTGGGCTCAGTTCGTCTCACGTCATCCTTTTCCTGGGCCTCCACCCTCTTCCCCACACCCCTCTGCTCCACCTACCCTGAGCGCGGACACCGTGGGCAGGTCCATTTCTGGGGAGCTGGCCATTATCTTGTGAGCTGACAGGATGCCTACAGAAGACAGATAGAGCTTTTCAACGGAGGATGGTGGCCCGCCTCGCTCCCATGCTTTCCCTGGGAAAGCAGAATCAAAACCCACAGCCGCTCTAACAGTGCCAGTCTCCCTCCTCCTCCATCCTTTACGCGGGCATAAGACGAGCTTACATCTTAACCAGAATCTCCTCTCCCCCACCGGACGTAAATTCTCCTTTCATTCATTCATTCATTCATTCATTCATGCTGGCGGGGTGGAGGGCAGACCACAGACCAGGCCTAGGGACCGCCCGCGAACCCGTCTCCCGCCCCCACGCGCTTGCCTGCGGCCGTGAAGCCGCGCGCCAGCGCACAGGCCAGCTGGCCGGCGCCGATGAAGCCCACGCTCATGGTTCCCGGTTCACTTCTCCTGGCAGCCGCAAGAAACCGCTCAGCGCGGGCCCGGAGATACCACTAACAGACGGCGGACTGTGCTGGGGCCCGCCAACAGCGCGCCGAGGACCAGCAGTTCCGAGCGGCTTCCGGGCGGGGCCTGGAGGAACTCCCTCACACTGGACCCCGCGACCCTTCTCATCCGGCAGCATCCGGGCCGCAGACGGCGCCCTAGGCAACGTGGCCCCGCCCCGCCAGGGCGGCCAATCCAAAGCCAGGAGCTCCAGGCAGGCGCCATACGCCCGCCTCCTCCACTCCCGACTGGCAGGCGGAACCTTGGGCGCGAGTTCCGGAAGCCCCTACCTTCGCCTAGGTGAGCCCCGGAACCCCGCCGGCCCGGAACCTCCGACACCCACCCGAGCACCGAGGTCGCCGTCCCGGCCCCGGTCAGACTGATGCTATTTCTGGTGCTGGCGTCGGTTCAAATGGGATCGCGTAGAGGCGGCGAGGCCAGCCGCGTTTTATTTTCTTGAACTCGCATGGGTCACGGAGTTTGTTTTAACTAGATCGCAAGCAGGACCAGTTCCTCTGTTCAAGAAGCTAGAGGCTGTCTAAGGCCTGGCTAAAAGTATACTCAGGTCTCCGAATCTTCCAGACGCCCTATCCCTCTCGCCTCCTTGCTGCCGCTTGCTTTAAAAAGCTCCACAAATGTGATGTTTCCTTTTTCATCAGTAGTAAATGTAGTAAGGAGCCACAGGTAACCAGTGACAGAGAAAAGTACAGAGGAAGGAAGTGGCGTCCCTAGAGGAGTCAGAAGAGCCGAAGACCCCTAATTCCCCACGGTCTCTACTAGTTTTTCTGCAGCTCCTTCCATATAATTCACACCCCCACCCCCAAGCTGGGGTTCGCTTTCTTTGAGCTTCCCTGAACAAGTCCCCAGGGCCTCAGTGTCTGCACCCTTAAAAGTGAGGACCAAACATTTACTATTAAGCAAAATAATGCTATATTTCTATAACTGTTTTGATTAGAAAAATAGTACATGCATATGGAGGAAAATTTGGAAAATACGAAAGAAGCAAAAATGAGAAAGTCAAAATCACCCACAATCATACTTCCTAAGGATAGTTTCCTGCAGACATTTTTGGTGTATCCCTTACACTATTATTTTCTATGTGTATATACTTCACAGGCAATTATGTTTGATGCCTGTGAAGTTCCTTTGGGCTAAAGTTGAGGAGAGGAGAGGCCTGTAGTTTGAACCCAGCCATCCTTCAAGGAATAGTTGCAAGAATTAAGTGATATATGTGACATTGCCTAGCCCAGCTCCCAGGCTCATACCACTTGCTCAGAAACTGTAAGCTTGCTTGCCATACCACTGTCATACCTACCCATCCCCATCCCCGTCCCCATCCCCACTATTGTAGGGGTTAAAGTGCTTTCTAAAGAGGAGGCGTATGTGAATGATTGTTTACAATACTATTTTTGGAATGGGAGTCGTATGGGAAAATGTAAATATCATAAATCAAAGCCTAATCTAATTTAGTTATTAGAGTCTTCAGTGCCCCCTAGAAGTTGCAGGTCCTTTCTTCACATCATTATGTTGCCCTCATTCCCCATTATTGCTCCCTTCTCTCCTATGTAAAGAGTATTAGAAATTAAATACAGAGACAGAGTGAAACATCACTTTTATTTCTTCAGATTATCAATATTTAATTGTATTTGCTAAATTAAAAAAACACATCAATACTTGTGGTTTCTGGTGATAAATTCTCTACAACAGTGGGGGAAATAACCTAAATATGCACAGGCAAGGCTCAGTCTCTGGAAAGCGAGTACAGCTAGGTGCTGCCTGATCCCCAGGGCAATGAAGTCTTAGAGCTGAAGCCCAACTCCTTTTTAAGAGGAAATGGTGACTCAAAGCCTTCCGCATTTGTTTGAGGTCCCAGGGTATGACCCCATCAGATCCAGATACCAGGTGTCCTGGTTCCCTGTCCACTCCCCTCAGCCTGAAGCCCTTCACCCTCCCTCCTACCACCCTCTCAGGGGAACAGAGACCTAGGTATGTTCACAGAACTCCAGAATTGGTCAGTCTTCAGGGGAATGGGGATTCGTTTTTAGACATCCTCCCTGTGTAGGGCAAACAGGGAATTTTTGGTTTTGTTTTAATTCATCATGTAATAGAGTAAATTAGCTCTATTTTCCCAGTTCTCATCATAGGGTTTTTTTGTTCCATACCGAGTGAAGAATTTGCCAGAGAACAGAAACTCCCAGCTGACAGTCTGTCCATTGTTCAGCTGTCCCTCTAATAAGTAGGCCAGGAATTCCTACTGGAGCTGCATTATTTACTCATATAAGTGCTTGGGATGGGTGATGGACAAGGACAAAAATGGAAGAACACAGGGCAAAGGAAATGTAGGGGCACTAACATGGGACAGGGGTCACTTGCTAAGTATCAAATAAGACCTACATGGAGACCTGCTTTTATGCATGCTGTCTAGCAGAGGCCTCAGTGGCAGCACTGGGCGCCTACGGCTCAAGCCTCCTTGGCATGGGCGCCCCATCCGAGGCACAGCTGCACTTCTGCACCCTCATGTTGGGCAGGCTGACCACCTGGGGCCTGGTCCTGCCTCCCTCTTGGATGCTGACGATCACGGGCAGCGAGGCCATCTCCGACGCGATGCACTGCCGTGGCCCCAGAAACGGCCACTTGGAGGTCAGGGGATCCGGGGGCTGCTGGCAGGTGCCCACACACTCGTAGGCCAGGAAGCCCGGGGGCTCCAGGACCCAGTTCTCCGCCCACTTCATCCCCTGCAGGTCAATGTACATCTCCTGGCGACAGCAGCGGGTGCCCTTGGTCACTGGCGCCTCAGAATCACAATCACCCTGAGCTCTGTGTGGGCAAGGACAAGGTCAGAGGTCAGCTGGGAGCGCTGAGATCAGGGGCATCTGGGAGGGAGATTTATGATCTATCTCTCATTATGTTCAAAAAGCTGGATGTTTGTGATAGGGGATGAATGAATAAACATATACGAAACATAAATAATAAAGTGGCTACTGTTTATTAAAGGTCTCCCAATACTCCAGACACTGAACCAGGTATTTCACACGTGTTATCTCGGGTGATCTCGGCATTTCATCCTCACATGACCCTTCAGGGAGGTTCCAACGGTATCTCTGTTCCACCTGAGGACACCAAAACCCAAAGCTGTTCGGGGACACACCAAAGGACTGGCAACCAGTAGGAGGCAGAGCTAGATGGAAGCCAGGCTGTCTGACTCTGATGGCCTGTTCTTAGCCACTGTCCTATCCAGCCCCTTTCCGCTCCAGGGAGCTAACTTGTCCCATGAAAAGAGAATCACCAAGGCAGGAAGAAAGCTGTTCACCTTTAGTAACAGCTAAAGCTAATATTTTTCAAAGACTTAATAGTGGAGAAAGGTAAAGTGAATGAACATAGATGATTGTGATAAAGTGTATGATTCCATGACAACATGAAAATCCATTGAAAATATCAGAAGGTGTTTTTCAATAAAATATTTGCATAATAAGATTTCTACCATTAGAAACTGACATGTAGTGGGGAAGCAGTCTTCTCCTGGGGCGGCTGGCACTGCCTGCCAGACTCCGGAGACATGGGTCTGGACCACCCAGTCCACTCCTGCCCCACCGGCCCAGCGCGGAGCCTACCCGTAGTCCTCGAGGTCCAGGGCGTGCAGCTCCAGCTGGGGCTCCCCATGCCCGGCACCCGGCGTCCCCTGCCAGGCGAAGCGCACCAGCTTGTGGGCGCTGGAGGGCTGCGGGCCCGGGTGCTCCCTCTGCACCGACACCTGCAGCAGCAGCGGCTGCCGGGGCCGGCCCAGCTGCTGCCAGAAGTTCACGGCCTCGGTCACGTCGAAGGTCTTCCAGCCGCTCTCGTGGAGGGACACCAGCCTGAGACAGGACGCAGAGACAGAGCGCGCGTGAGGGGCGGGGACTGGGACGGACTGTCCTGAGGGCCCGCCCCGCCCTCCCACACCCCACCCCTGGCTGGGCCCAGCCACTCCCTCTCCTCTCCCCGCTACTGCACACACTAACCGCGACCCCCCACCTGGAGTCGATGAGGGAGGTGCGGTTGGAGCCATCGTCGCGGACGCGCAGCCACTCGATGGTGACCAGGGCCCGGGTGCTGCGCGGGGACAGCCTGTGCAGCGCGGCCTTGGGGACGGGCTCCTGGAAGAGCCGCAGCACGGCCTGCACCAGCTCGCTGTTGGGCGGCAGCCGCTGCTCCATGCCGAACACCAGCAGGTGCCTGTCGGCCTCGGACACCAGGAACCTGCCGGCCACCTCTGGGGACACCAGCAGGGTCAGCGGGGCCTCTCCGAACACCAGGGGACCTCTGAGAGTGGTGGGGCCACTGAGGTGGCAGCCAGGCCAGGAGAGACTGGCCCCTGTTAAAATCCCCCTTGGGTCTCGCTGTGGGTGCTGAGGAGGTGGCGCCCAGCCCCAGGGAGGTGAGAGGCTGCAATGGGATGCGGCCCCGTTGCATCCCTGACAGCCGAATATTAATCAGGTGTTGAACTTTATGCTTTCTAGCCGCAGTGACTGACTTCAACGATCGCAATGCTGGGAGACAGGTAGGACATAGTCATACCCCTGCTCTAGACGAGCACACGGTTGAGAGAGGATTTGAAAGCCATTTGCTGAAGGTGGGGCTCAGACCACAGTGGCCATGTGGAAACAGCCCCGGGAAGTGCTGACTGCACCGCAGCACTCCTAGGTCCTGCCAGGCCGGCCTCCCCCTCCTCTGCTCTCTCCCCTCTGCCCTGCTCTTTTCCCATGCCTTGGCCCCTCCCACCGCCCCTTGGACCCAAGGAGCCCACCACGGACTTCCCAGGACCGGGTGCAGCGGGCAGGGAGGGCCTCACCTCGGAAGTTCTGGCTGAACCTCTTCCCGCGGGAGCGGTCCCCGTGGCTGCGCTGCAGCAGGGCCACGTACTGGGCCCTCACGTGGGCAGGGATGGCCAGCCGCTCCACGTTGGCCCTGTCCAGGACGGGCGCCTCGCGGAGGTGCAGCCGCTGCAGCAGGCTGCCCAGGAGCTGCTCCTCGGTCACGGCCGCCCCGGGGCCAGCCAGGGGCAGCACCCAGAGTGCCCAGCAGAGCCACAGGGGGCACATGGCAGTGAAGAGCAGGGTGGGTGTGTCCCCTGAGGAGGCTCCAGGAGGGTGTCAGGCCCAGCTGGGTGTGCTGAGAGCCAGGGCTGGGCCAGCTTTATAGCAGGCCCTGGGCTGGCCTGGGGGTGGGAGGGGGCAGGGAGGGAGGTCACACCCCTCGGACCTCCTGGAAGCTCAGCAGCCAGACAGGTCCCTGAGCCCTGAGGAGGGGACTGTCTAGAAAGGGCAGGACTGTTTGGATGCCACACAGGCCTGGGGCCTCTGACTGTGCTGTCTGGAAGCTCAACAATATTTTTAGTGCCTGTTGGATTTTCCTGGCCTTACCTTAGTCCCATTATATGAAAAAGTGAGGCTATTCTGTGAAAAAGAGAGTCCCCTTAGCCAGCTGCTTAAATATCTTTAAATCTCTTTCTGGAGGCTGGTCTAGGTCTAGGTTTCTACATCTAGGAGGAAGGAGAGAAAGTATTCTACATTCCTGCCAGTTCTGGCCACTTTCACAGAAGCCCCTCAGTCATCTCCCTCCATCCTTCAGTCCTTGCCTCCCCCTCCTCTCCCTGCCACGGGTCCCTGAGGGTTAGGTCACAGTCCTTGCCGTCCCCAATGACAGAGGAAGCTGGATGCTCTCAGGACAGAAATCTGGCAGCTGGCCTGTCTTTGGCAGTGCCAGGGAAAGCAATTTCTGCAGCTGTCTTTGTAGTCACGTTCTCGGCATGCTCTGCCCTGTGAGCTGGCTGGCTGGTGCCACCAGTGCTCAGCTGGAGCCCAGGTCATCTTCAGACACAGAATAAGGGACAGGAACCTGGAAAGCAGAGGCCAGAGCTGCCCAGAGGCATGTCCTGTCCAAAGCCACCAGTACTGGGGGGACTTTGGGGAGGGAAGCCCCCAATGAGTCTTCAAACACACCTTTTAGACGGCTGGGTCAAATGTGGGTCCTGCTGCTTGCCGGCTGTCTGACCTGCTAGCAAGTCATTTAGTTTCCGCATCTGAAGAAGAGGGCAATAAATAGATAACAATAGGGTTTACTTCACAGGGTTGGTATGAAGATGAAATGAAGTAATACATGTAAGGTATTTAGTCCAGTGTCTGATAAACTTCTATATGCATATGCAAATGCTTGTGTGCGTGTGTTTGCTGTCATTATTATCTGCCTGAAATCCACATTGTCAAGGTTGTGGCTTTTCTACAACCATCAAAAACAAACGTGGCAAACATTTCCTGGTGCTCACTATGTGCCAGTCAGTGCTCTAAGCTCCGAATGTGTATTCACATGCCGAGGAGGCAGGTGTTAGCTTCAGGTGCGTCTCCCAGATACAGCGCAGGAGCATTGCCCGGGGAAGTAACCTGCCTGTGCTCCCTCAGCCAGTGGAGGGCTTGGGGGTAAATACAGCGTCTGTCTCTGCAGGCGTCTCCTCCTGGCACTGGCTGGGGGGGCATTTGGAGATGTGCAGGAGGAAGTCCTTCCACAAACTCAGCAGCCTCACTTGCCCATGTTCTGTCACATGGGCACTGAGCAGTGATGAAGGAGGAGGACAAGGACCCTGGGCCAAGGGGCCGGCAGGCAGGGAGCATCCCCCTCCCCCTTCCCAGTGGGGGTGCTCCAGCCCCTTTGCAGGTATGCTGTGACAGGTCTCTGCATCATCCTCCTGCTTCTGGCCTCAGGTATCCCAGGCAAAGGAAGAGGGAAACTTCTGGTGCTCAAGGGCGGAATTTCCCCTGAATGAAAGCCCAGGGACATCTGCACAGATTGCCACAATATACATATCCATATACACAAGCATTTGCATATGCACATACGTAGGGGGGTTTAGTGGTGAGGGAAGGACTTGCCCTGGAGGACAGAGGATAACACTGATAACAATCACAATGGCTAATGGTGCTGTGGGCTTTATATATGCGATTAACCCTTTATTCTCACGACAACTTGAGGAGGAAGTTGCCATTATCAGTCCCATTTTGTAGAAGAAGAAACTGAGGCATAACTGCTCCCTGACTGGCCCAAGGTCATGCAGCTAGCGTAGCTAGAGCCCAGGCTGTCTGAAGTGAGGGAGACAGGGATTTGCTCACACGCTACACAGGCCAAGGTGAGGAAGTGTGGAAATCCTGGCGGCTGACCACAGGGGAGGACACGCTCAGGGGGTCATGACACATGACTTTGGCTGCTTCTCTGTTTCCCTCTCCTTTGCCCTCCCTCCTTTACTCCACGGAATGTGTGTAATTCACAAGGAGCAATTCAAATCCCATCTTCGAGCTCATCTGTCACGTAGTTTGAGCATCCCGTGAGCTATAAGTCCCCACCCCTGTGTCCGGCCCAAACAGACCTCCTGCTCGCCCTGTGACAGGTGTAGCTGTCTTCAAAAGGGTAGCTGTTGCCTTTCTTTGCAAGTGATTAGCAGGGGAAAGACTTACTTGATGCAAACATTTGGGCCTTAAGTCAGGCCAAAAGGTGCAGAAGTGTCACATTTACAGGCGACCCAGGACCAGTGGCCCTTAGTCCCTGGAAGCTGTTCTGGGCTAGTGTCCCATAAATATGCAGTCGTCCACCACCCTTGCGGCGTGAGAAGAAGCCTGTGGCTTATCACCGGCCACAGTGGTACCGAGGATATAACACCCGGGCTGCCCTTGCCTGCCATGACCCCCTCCCCAAGCCCCCCACATCCAGACCCACCGGGAGCTCCCTAGGGCTGGAAGCTCCCAAGGACACCATGCAGGCCACTGTTCTGTTTCAGCAGGAACCTGCTGTCGCAGGGCAGAGGGAGGCCAGTTAGCTGACATGCAGATCCCCGCACGAGGCTCTCTCTCACCTAGGAGGGGCCTCGGGACTAAACCTCTGGGAGACCCCAGGGATCAAGAGCCCCTCCCAAACCTGAGTAATTGCCCAGCTAAACTGAAACCTCATTTTCCAGAGAAGACAGTAAAGTGAAGGAACCGTCCTCTGCTTGTTCCCTGCCTCCCCCAGATGTCTTGCTGGTGTTTCTGGATCGGGCTCTCAGCGCAGGACCAAGTCTAAAGCTAAGCCCTCAATGGGAGATGGAGCTCTACTGTCAATGTCCAGCCTTTCTGGGCCCAATCCTGCCTGCAACGATGGGTGTCTGGGGCCTGGGGCCCTGGGAGCTTCTGGGGGCCACTGGGAACCTGGGCAGGTGGTCCACAGTTAGGAAGCTGAGACCCCTTCCTGATCTTGGGGGGACTTCTCTTAAGTGGCGGAGACTGGGAACATTTAGCACCAACGGTGACTTTGTCCAGCAGATGCCCCGCCCTCCTCCTTCCCCTGCTAGTCTGTAGAATGAGAGGGCTTAGAGCCAAAATGACTATCCAGCCTATTCTCCTTCCCCCAGGTTTTGGAGCTAAGAAAACTGAGGTTTAGAGAGGTGACAGCTTCCCCAAGCACGCACCATTAATGGTCGGTACTCGCATAAAGCCAGCTCTTCCAATTCCCAGGCCAAACTTCTTTCCACATCTCAAACTGTTCCCCTGTGCCCAGGCCTCCCCTGGCCCCCTGATCCCAGCGGGCTCATCTGTCAGTCCCAGGCAAACTAGAGACTCAGTCAACCCAGGGTCAGGTCTGGGGGGTGAGCAGGGAGGCGAGAGAAGCAGACAGACAGGCAGAGGACAAATCTTCCAGATTCCTGAGGCCCAAGACACAGGCCCTGGGTCCTGAATGTGGATTCCCAGCAGCCTGAAGAGTTTTGCTGCAGAAATAAAATAATTGGGCAATTATCTAGAGGCCAAAAGAAGAAGTGGAATGTGGATTGGGAGACTTTTTACAATGGACTGATTAGTTGTCAGGAGGGAGGGCCGCCGCCCTTTGTCATGCAGAGGAAGGAGCCAGGCCTCCCCTCACTGTGGGTCTGGGTGGAGAGCCTGGCTGTGGGGTCAGATCAGCCTTGAAAAGCAGAAAAATAGTAAAATAGCCTCTTCTGTCCTGGTGGGAGGGAAGGTGTTTGGAGGACAGGGAATACTACTCAGCAAGCTGTCTAAATCAGATTTCTCCCTCCCGAAGATTCCTAAGGTGGAAGTCAGTCAGACTATCTATGAACCTGTGTTGTTAGGGGTTTTTAAATTTTGCAAAGACTCTTTTTCAGAGATATTCTGTTGTGAATGCTCTTAGTGTAATGGTACAAATGCTGTACACGAATGCAAATGTTTGCCATTGCCAGTTGTTTTGTTGGCATCAAATCCATTAGGATAGATGCAGTTAGGACCAAAGTCTCCGCCAACCCAGATGGCCTTCAGATAACCCAGACTTCCTCTCTGTTCTCTCTGGGCCACATTTTATGATTCCGGCAGCAGACTCCCCCTGATCCGGGGTTATCTGGACCAGCCATCCTTCCCACACAGCATGGCCATCAAGGAGCCATGATGGGGACGGGTTCCCCATTCCCCACCTTCCCCCAGCCCCGACAGCTTCTCTACAGCCCCACTGTTCTGGCACCTCCCACCTGCCACCAGGTCTGGGGCTGTTCCACGGGGGAGTCCCCAGGGGCAGTGATTTCTGCCCAGAGTCACCTGAGGAGCCTGTGTAACCACAGACTCCTGGACCGCAGCCCAGGCCTCCTGAATGAACTGTGCTGGGGCCAGGGCCCGGGAATCTGAATGTTCCAGATTCTATGCACATTAGGTTTGAGAAGCAGGGAAGGGTGAGGAGGGGTGGGGGGATAGCAGGCCTGTGAGGTGAGGGGTCCAGGAGGGTGCTGCAGAACTCAGGTGGAAAACCCCATCATACCATTGAAGTTAGATGTAACCTGGCCCTTCCAGATGATTCCTCAGCTTCCCGATTGCCTGTGATGAGACAAAAGAAAACAACCAGGAAAAAAAATGGAAAAACATTTTTTCCTGAGGTCTTTTCTGGGCTTCTCTGAAAATTTGAGAGTAAGAACAGGTGAACAGAAAGGGTTTTTTTCCTCTCTCTAAATACTCTGAACATAATTATGTTCTATGCAAATTAAGCAGCATAATATTTAATGATCCAAAGTTAACAGTATGTAGGTCAACAGATCTATCAAATTGTAATTATTTCTGTCTTCCTCTAAATTTCTGTTTTTTTCTCCACTTCCCATCCCCCACCCCCCAAC